GGAGCAATAGGGGGGATGACGACTGGTGTAAGACCATCTTCTGCCAACAGGCTGAGTTTTGTTGACAGGAAGTGGCTGGAGAGATGTCAGGTGTTTGAAGAGATGGGGGTTGAGGAGAGACCTGTTGCAGGAAACCAGGAAAAAGATGCAAGAAGAGAAGAAAAGAGTAAGATGGAAGGAGAAACACAAAAATGTGAAAGAAACGGTGAGATGATTTCAAATGTCAAAGGAAGTGGAAAGACAGAGCACAACCATGAGAGCGTCACTACTGACAAAACAGACAGTGATAGTAAAGCAAAACCTGATCAGAAACCTGCAAGAAAAAGTAGAGGAGGAGGGAAACTGAAAAGGAAGGACGAAGAGGAGATGCAAAAAGAAGTGACGACAACACCAACGTCAGAGGGTGTTGGTGATGAGCTCAGGGTCAGTGGTCCAAAGAAGAGAGGAAGGAAGAGGCAGAGAGATGGAGAGGAGGGTGAGTTGTCAGGAGAGCGAGAGGTGAAAAAGAAAAAAGTTGACAAAGACAAACAAGGGAGTTCAGCGCAAAGAGGAAGAAAGAAAAGAACCAAACAGAAAGGAGATGAAGATGAAGATGATGAGGGAGAGGAGACAAAGGAGATGAAGATGAAGATGATGAGGAGGAGATGGAGAAAAAGACCAAGGAACCCAAAAAGGTAAGAAGCTTATTTTGTGTTTTATCTGGCAGTGCAGCATCTTTTTTGTAATTTTTACGTGGTAATGTTTGTGTCAAGGAGGTTCATGAGAATTTGCTGGGAGAAGTTGAAGAGGAGTTTGTGAGTCGGAGAATGTGTCAGACTCAACCTGTCAGAGCCAGGTGAGGTCACACTGACCAGGACGTGTTGCAGGATGGTGTCACAGCATCTTCACCTGACCTATGTATTTATTTTTGTTCTCTGCAGAGGCATGAAGGGTGCAGAGGGTAATTTTGTGAAGATTAATATGAAGAAGAAATCTCATGTCAAAGGATATGCACTTAGAGGAATGGCACTCCGCAAACAGGTGAGAGAGTAAAATTCATATTAAAGTAATCAGGGAGTTCGTGAGCTCTTGTAGAATTCTAATTGATATAAATGTCTGTAAAACTATAATATATATGAATAATAATATTATAATAATTTCACATAGAAAGTACAAAATATAAAAACACTTCAGATAATATCACTGAGGTCAATCTAACATAGAAAGTACAAAATATAAAAACACACAGATAATATCACTGAGGTCAATCTGTCATGTCTGTTTCAGATATACATGCAGAAGTTCCAGCTGAAAGGTGAACGCTTCGGTGGAGGTGGTGGATATTTTGGCCGTGGGAGAGGAGGAGGCTTCAGAGGAGGCTTCAGAGGAGGCTTCAGAGGAGGCCTCAATCGTCAGGGCGATACCTGCTACAAGTGTGGAGGAACAGGACACTGGGCCATCGACTGCAAAGGACAAGGTTGTTCAATTTGATTTTTCATAAATAATCTTGTATCTGGTCTTTGTAATCAATAAAAAGGCAGAGCCACACATTTGATATTTTTAGATCAAATGTCAGGAATAAAATACAATTTTATATACAAATAGTATTGTTTTTATTCACTTCACAACTGCACTCCTTAGTTCCTGCTCCTCCACCTGCTCCTGAGAACCAGCCTGTTGAGGAGGAGCCTTTTGAACTGCCAACGCTTGAGGAGGTTGCCAGGGCAACAGGAACACTGCGACCTCAGCCTCTCAGTAAGTCCATTGACCTTTTTCCTGTCTAATGTTCCTGCTAAAGTGAACATTCAAAAAATTCCACCCACAATATCTAACATCAAAATACATTTGTGTTCCCACAGTGTCTCCTAGTGTCAGTGAGGAGCAGCAGGACAGAGAAAATGAAGTGGATCATAAACATAATGACGAGGAGCTGCTGAATGTGATTCGACCGGACTATGAGCGCCCCCCTCCTCCTCCACCCATGGAACCCCTGTATCCCCTCACAGACGATGGAAAGGTTCAGGGTAAGTAAACACCGTTGTGTGTGGTTGAAGCTACATGGACAGTTAACCATGGCTGTGTGTGTGTGTGTGTGTGTGCAGAAACACCAGCTGAAGTTTACGCAGCTCTGGAAGACCTTGGCTACAAGTCATTCAGAGCAGGACAGGAGGACGCCATCATGAGGATCCTGTCAGGTACCACAGCACGTAAACCATAGACCTTATATAGGAAATGGTCATAACCATTGTGGTTGTAGCCACAGTATGCCTGACATCTGCACATTCAAAACTCAATTAGTCTAAAAATTGTTACTAGAAAATATTTTTTTTTTCTGTGCATTTGCTTAGCATAACAGAGTAACAGATTTGGCCCATGTTGTTAAATTCTTTTCTCTTTTTTTTTGAAGGCCTCTCGACCCTGGTAGTCTTGTCAACAGGTATGGGTAAATCCTTGTGTTACCAGCTCCCTGCCTATCTGTACGCTCAGAGGTCAAAGAGCATCACACTGGTCATTTCTCCTCTGGTCTCACTGATGGACGATCAGGTTAGGATGAGCAACAAGGTCTGCTTTATTTTAAAGACAACAGTGATGCAGTTACATTGTTTTGATTATGTTTCCAGCTGTCTGGTCTGCCAGCTAAACTGAAGGCAGCCTGTATTCACTCCAACATGACCATGAAACAGAGAGAAGCTGCCATAGAAAAGGTAACACAAGAGAGGAGAAGATAGAAAACAATTTTTATTTTCTCTTGATCATTTTTTTTATCTTCAAAGCTTTAAAAAATGACATGATTCCTATTTTGTCCATGTTTGATTTGTTTTTTAAATGTTGCCCTGTGTTTTTCTGCTCCTGTCTTTACAGGTGAAGTCAGGTCAAGTGTGTGTGTTGCTCCTCTCTCCTGAGGCTCTAGTTGGTGGAGGAGGCTCAGGTGCTGGATGTCTACCTTCAGCTCAGGAGCTCCCTCCTGTGGCCTTTGCCTGTATTGATGAAGCTCATTGTGTCTCTGAGTGGTCTCATAATTTCAGACCTTGTTACCTGAGACTCTGTAAGGTTGGTTGGGTTGATAGTTCCTCAGATACTGTGGTTTATTAGATAAATAAAGTGGTGACTGTTTGCTCTTATTTGAACTGTCGTTTTTCTTTCAGGTACTGAGGGAACGTTTGGGAGTCCAGTGCTTGTTGGGTCTCACTGCCACAGCCACTCTGTCCACCGCTCTGGACATTGCTCAGCATTTGGACATCCCTGATCAGGACGGCATCGCAGTTCGCTCTGCTGCAGTTCCTTCTAACCTGTATCTGTCTGTGTCCATGGATAAAGAGAAGGATCGGGTCTGGTGGTTTTTAAATATTCAGCCTAGTTTTATGAAAAGTGAAAAAAGAAACAAGAATGTAGGCATCTCATCCTGTGTTGAATGATTCCAGGCTCTGGTGGCCCTGCTGAAAGGAGATCGATTTGGTTGTCTGGACTCCGTCATCATCTACTGCACCAGAAGAGAGGAGACGGCCCGTATAGCAGCTCTGCTCAGAACCTGCCTGCAGGGAGTGCTGGTTAAAGAAAACAAACAAGTTAGCAGCAGCAGCCAGAACAACTCTGCGTCAGACAGAAAGAAGGAGCTGGGTGAGTCCTGTCATTCTCAGTTCATATTTATCATTAGACTGAAAAATAACGTCTGTGCTTCATAATCTGTTTTTACAGCAAGAAAGAAGATTCGTAAGCCACTGAAGTGGCAGGCTGAGTCGTATCACGCCGGTTTGTCTGCGTCTGAGCGCAGGAGGGTCCAGAATAACTTCATGTGCGGGGAGCTCAGAATAGTGGTGGCCACTGTGGCTTTTGGAATGGGTTTGGATAAATCTGATGTCCGCGGCATCATCCATTACAACATGCCAAAGGTTTGACCATTTGGTTTATTTACTTCTTCTTTCTTATACCTATTTATTATAATAAAATGGTCACATGATACTGATTTTTTCTATCCTAATAATTTATCCTGTTGATTATTTTTGTCAGAGCTTTGAGAGCTATGTCCAGGAGATTGGAAGAGCAGGAAGAGACGGAGAACCAGCCCACTGTCACCTCTTCCTGGATCCTGAGGTTAAAAAAAAAAGTTCTTTGGAATTAATTGTCTACGTCAAAGTAAAAGATATATTTTCTATGTGACTGTTCATGCCATATATATTGGCCAGTGAATACAACAGTTGATATTTGCATTAAAAACATTATGTTCACAGTTTTAAGGTAATCTGGTTTTATAAAATGTTTAGTCTTGATTACTGTATTTCCAGTTGATTGTTGTGCATTAACTGTTGCTTCATATTTTTGAGGTATTGTTTACAATTGTGCTTCCTGTTTACAAAAATCAGTGGCTCATCTTTAACAAAACATTTCATATATAAATGAATTAAACTTCCTGCCTGTGTCCCTGTGTCCAGGGTGAAGACCTGCACGAGCTGCGTCGTCACATCTATGCAGACACGGTGGACTACTACACCGTGAAGAGGCTGGTCCAGAAAGTATTCCCTCAGTGCAAATGTAAACGCATCCACCAGAAACAACAAGAGCTCATGAGGGTAACTGACATTGTGTCTTTGGGTCTTGGAAGTTTTTTGTTTTGTAAAAAAAAGAAAGTTTGTCAAGTGTTTACTGCTTTTGTAAAAAAAAAAAAAAGGAAAGTTTGTCAAGTGTTTACCATCTGTGTAGGATGTTGAAGACTCTGATTTGTTGGAGATGATGGATGTTTGTGATGAGGAGAGAAGCTCCAACCCTGCTCCTGTTACTGCTGATGCTCAGGTCTTTAAACAATGACAGTCACCTTCTGTTTATAACTTTGGTTTGTTGTGTTAGGTGAACTTTGGTTCGTTATGTTAGGTGTTAAGTTAACAGGTGTTTGTCTTCTTTACCTCAAGGAGACTTCACAGCCTGCTTCCTTAGAATTATCAATACAAAAAGATCCAAATGAGGCGACCAATGAGGAATCAGGAAACATTGAGGGGGTTGTTTTATTGGAGCAGCAGAATGCAGAGGTTAAAGCAGCTGATGATGGACCAGGAGACAAAGAAGAGGTGGACTATGATTGGCCGAGAGAGCGAGTGTGTCACACACACGAGAGAGCGATTCCCATCCAAGACACGGTGGAGGCTCTGGACATCACAGAAGAAGGTGGAGGAAAATGAACACCACAAACACACACTTTTATGTTTATGCCCAGCTTCAAGACTTAAGGCCTGATTTCTTCTTTGTGTGTTTTAGGTGTAGAAACACTGCTCTGCTATCTGGAGCTGCACCCTCAGCGCTTTGTAGAACTGCTCCACCCGACTCTGTCTGTGTGTAAAGTCAGCTGCTATGATGGACCCAGACAGCTCCAGAAAATCACTAAAATGTATAAAATGTTTGACCTGAACCTCCTGCAACTGAGTGAAAATGATCAGTCGTTGAAAATAAAAACACTATCACTAAAATGTATAAAATGTTTGACCCAAACCTCCTGCAACTGAGCGAATCAGTCATTGAAAATAAAAACACCTTTTTTAATGTATCCCTCAGCTGCCCTCCTGTGGCTGTGGTTCTGGCCAGGAAGCGAATGAAAGGTGAGAAGGTGGAGACCTGTGATCAGCTGGAGTTTGATGTGGTGGAAGTTGCAGACACTATGGGATGGCAGCTTCCTCTGGTGAAGAGAGGGCTGAGGCAGCTGCAGTGGAGCACTGACAGAGGTTTGTATTTATATTCACAAAAGAAATTAAGGGGTAGCAGCTTTAAGGTTTACCTTAAATGTAAATATTTTCCTCTTTAGTAATCTTTAGTAAATCACTGATTTAAAAAAAGAAATTAATTACAGGTGGCGGTCGTAGTGGAATTCTTGTTGAGTTCTCCTCTGTGTCGTTCTACTTCCGATCTTATGGCGACCTGAGCGATGAAGAACTGGACAGAGTTGGTCAGTTCCTCCACAACCGTGTGCAGGACCGAGAGAAAACGCAGCTTTACCAGCTGAGTGCCTGTTTTAAGGCATTCAAGAGGTAAACATTTGTTTGACCTCCTGCTGAGTTGATAATAAAGTGAACAGTTTTTCTCATAAATGGTTGTTTTTGTATTTTTATCTCCAGCGTTGCCTTCCAAAGTGTCACCTCCTGCCTCGATGATCTGGACGTGAATCGAAGTCTGCAGCTGAAAAAACTTCTCTCTGAGTACTTTGACAAGAGGCGAGACCGTGAGCACACACTCCAACCACTGGACATCCAAGAACTGGACAAATTTAAGGTATAGAATTCAGGATGGTTGGGATACAGTACATTGCTACTATAATAAGTCCTCTGAAATAGTTTTTGTCATATTTTTTGTAAGCTATTGGATTGGGAAAACCAGATCCGAGCAGATGTCAGAAGTTTTCTTTCCAACCGCAGCGATGAGAAGTTTTCAGGAAGAGCAGTTGCCAGAATCTTTCACGGCATTGGTAAGAGCAGAAATACCATTTCTCAGCTTCGTTAATGTCATTCGACCTTTAAGACTTCTTTTCTCATTATCTATGATAACGTTTTTGGTTTTTTTAACCCGTCGTGTGTAAACATACACTCTCTCTGCAGCTTGTTCATTAGGAAATCAGTAAAATCAGGACAGCTGTTCCTGTACCTCTAGAGGGCGATAGAGGATAAAGTTTGATTGATGTGATGTCCCTCTTTTAAGCTGTCAAGTCTCATCTCAATAACTATTGTATCTTGTGCCTCTTTTTAAAAACGTGATAAATTTTGTTTTGTATAAATCACTTTTTAAATGTTTTATCCAAATGGAAGGCCACAGGTAAACTGTTTATTTACTTTGCAACTTTGGACCTGTTCCTGACTCCAGGACAGGTGATTGGTCTAGTCCACAGTAAACAGGTAGTAGGCAGGAAGAGGAGTCGATTATGCTGAAACAAAGTGAATGCAGCCAAACAGGAAGGGATAAGAAGGTACAGAACAGACAGTATTGTTCTACCAGCTCAAATTCCCAGCACTGACATCAAGAATGTGTCAAAGTCTGATTCTGAGCTTATTAAAAAAAATTCCATTTTAATCATTTAAAATGATCTGACCTCCCGTAGACACGCCCTTTTTGTTTTCTGTGGAATCTTATCTAGGCAGTTCCCACTTTACTTGAATCTTAAGGTCAAATTCGGAGGTCTGACTCATCTGTCATTCCCTAATGCTAAAATCTGAATATTTTCAGGCAGTCCGTGCTACCCAGCTACAACCTACGGCCGAGACAGACGATACTGGAGGAAGTACATCCAGTTTGACTTCAACCAGATCATCAGAATGGCCACTCAGGAGATCATTCGCTTCAAGTAACAGCACAAACACAGACAGTACAGACTCCCATCACAGGCTTTGATCCAAATCATTTTTATCTTCTATTCTCTTCTATTGCTGAAAACTAAAACTATTATGTGTAGCTTTTGACTGTTGTAAGTAGTTATCAAATAAAATCTATTTTTTATAAGTAAATATATTTAAAAAATGGTTTGTTTTACTATTAGTTGTTTTAATGCTGTAAATAAATAAGAGCCTCTCATCCTGAATGTTGGCACAGCCATTAGTTCACTGACCAAAAACTGACCTACTAATGGACTAGTACATGGACGTAAACACAGTGGGATTTTTCTTTTCCTCCCCCATCCCTCCATCACCCTCCCCTCGTTCTCCTCTCCTGCCATTATCACTGTTGTTAATACAGTCATACCTCAGGGTGTGAATGTAAATATTGTAGGACAACTTTTAAAACTTCTTACAGTGAGCCTCAGTTTTGCAGTCACACCGACAGTACAACGGGATGTTCTTAAATATTGGAATGTAGTGACTGAAACATTGAATCATAACCTCAACAATATCTGGAGACGATGCTTGGCCTCACAGCTGTTGAGTTTGTTAGAAAGAGTGGAAACCTGGAGATAAGGTGGACGTTTATACCTAATAGCTGCAGCTAACCTAATTACCTCCGACTGTTTTGAGTTGTCTACTGTAGTCCCAAGAATCACACTCTTTGTCATACCTCAGGGTGTGAATGTAAATATTGACGTTCTGTAGCTGTGTCGGTGTAGGACAACTTTTAAAACACTTTATTTCTTACAGTGAGCCTCGGTTTGGAGTTGGAGTTTACTATTCAAATAACCAGGTTTAACTGAACATACTTTACTCCTGATCTACCATCACTCCCTTTGACATTTATGGTAATTTTACTAATTTAATTTAACATTTAACTTGTATTAATTTCATCACATAAGGTGTGTGTGTGTGTGTGTGTGTGTGTGCCCAAACACTTCCCTGTTGTTGAGATGTTAATGAATAGTCCTGCAGTTGCTCAGTCTTTCCCAGAATGGTTAAGTAAATAATATCAGCCAGTGTTTGCATTTTCAGCAAACACACACACATACACACACACACACACTTGGGAATTTCCTTTTTTTCCTAAACAAAGAAATCTCCAAGACTGAGCTTTACAAACAAGCGATCTTTACACTTCGATCCCTTGATAAAAGTTAGAGGTTCAAATCCCTGTGTAGTGTTGTGATGAGCTGCATGGTGCAGCAGTGTATCTGCTCTCATCCCTCAGGGGTTTCCCAGTCCTTTAGATATTTTTTGGAAACACAAGTAAAAAAAAAAAGCTGATAAATTGTGTTCAACAATTTTACAGTTTGTAGAGCTGTCAATAAAATTATTTTGAAGGCTGTTTCTAAAAAGTATCATTTACAGCTCAGGCGTTACATAAACCCAGGTGCTCAGCACGTGTTCAGAATCTCTTACTGTATGAATGAATGACAAAGTATCTTTTCTCTATCTTTATATTATTGTTTTATAAACTTCCACCAGTGTTGGTAAAGTTTACCGTCTTTTATTGTTGTACTAGCCCAAAGGTCTAGTTTCTGACGTGACATTTAAAAGTTTATGTCACCAGAAATTCATTAAACCTCGTAAACTGTTTTGCAGAGCTGACTTCAGGAAAAAAAATCCACTGTTCCTCCGTCAGCAGCCGTCAGCCTCTGTCATTAGGTTTTATAGCACATGCTTAAAGGTTCAGCGCTGATCCCGCCGCATATGTTGTCATTAAATGGGTCATTTTGTTTGTGGGAAAGTCGACATGCTAGCATTTACTGTATGTTCACGCCGTGAGTCATGTAACCACTCAGCACTTTATCTCTGGGCTGGGCCTCACGTTGTATCGGGAAAAACAACTCTCCCTTGTTCTGTGTGTGGATTCCACAAGTTTTTTGGAAGCGCTCCTTCAAGGTCTGATTTCATGTCAAGGCTCCTTTTTGTCACTTTGTGGCTGTAGAGCTGTCAGCTGCAGCTGCTAATCTCACGTTTCTTTTCTTTTCCTACACAAAGGTGTTTTGTTTGTTTGAGTTCGTGGAGAACAGTCTGAAGGACCTTTTAATTTTTAACATTTACTTTGTTACACAGCAGTATCGTGACTGACGTCGGCATAAAGGGAGGGGGAAACTGGTCACATATGCACGTATATGTAGGATGTTTCTCTCTCTTGGTAAATCAGCTGATTTGTAATGTGGTTATTTTTATATTGTAAAGCGGTGGTTCCTGACTTTTTTGGCCCATTTTGACTTAACAAATTCCCGGTGACCCTAGTGGCTTTGGCCCATTTTGACTTAACAAATTCCGGGTGACCCTAGTGGCTTTTTTTTGATCATGTTTGTTATAGTGTGTTGCAAGTACATGGTGGCCAGATTAGTGCACAAAGTGTTCAGAGGAACTGCAGCAGCCGTCACTTGTGCAGTCACATGATCTCAGCCATCAGATCAGCCTGGTCTCTGAATGAGCAGATCCACAGACACTTCTGAAACAGATGATGAGTGTTTTTCTGTCTTTGAAGCAGTGAGTTGTCAGTGGACTCTGACCCAATGATAATAATTCCATCTCCCATAAATCAGTGAGATTAGATGAACAAGATAAAAATCATGTCCACTTTCTTCTTTTACTGGCTTCAGTTCATTGTTGTGAACTTTACCACCAAAACAGTGTGAAGATCGCTTTAAAGATAAAAAAAAGTTTAAAAAAAAGAGAGTGTGACGTTTTACCTCACTTGATGCTGCTAAAGTTTCTGGTATACTTTGTGTTATAGTAATTATTTTGTCACCAAACACATCAACCATTATTAACATTACAGGCAAATAATCCTTAGAAACCAAACTGGAAGAAAACAAACTTTTTTTAATTTTCAGCAAAGTCAAAATACAAATACAAATCTTTTTCATACATATCCAGCATTACATAAAATTACATTAAATAAAAAGTACAAAAACTATTCTTTAACAGGCCGTTTATCAGTAAGGGATTCATAGGGAACAAAGGCACTGATAAATGTCATAAGACGACAGTGCTGACACATTACAATCTTCTACTTGCACTTACGTACACTTTAGTGGCCACACAGCAGCACCTCTGAGGTGGGGCTTAAAGTTTCAGCATCTTTATTTTAATATAACAGTAACTGGAAACTTTGCTGTGTCCGTAAATTGTCTCCAGGGCAGATGGACCTGATCTCTACTGTGTAGTACTGTACCGTTACTACATACACGTGTCTTTGTAGTACTTCTTACAGAGTTGTTTCATATTTGGTGTCAGAGAAGTGCTAACTGCAGCTCTGGTGGCTGTAGACTGTGATGAGACTGAGAAGAACTGATCAGGGTGTGTGGCAAAAAAAATGATGAAGTCACGTTATGAAATATTATCTTACTGTATTAGTGACAAAAATGATGAAGTCACGTTATGAAATATGAGGTGTGAGGGAGAGGTCACACAACCTTAGTGACTCTATGCACATTTCTGTTAGTCATGGTGAACAGGTAGAGTCAGTTTAGGTGGAAACAAGAGAGAGAAAACATTTGGACAGACACAAAACACTTCTGGCATGACATGTGCAGAATGTGCACAAGTAAAATGTAATGAACATGGGCTTCTGTGACCAACGCTGGTCAGCCTGGACTACATAAAAATGTGGGACCCATTAAGACAATGTGGACCGCTCCTTTCAAAATACTTACAGCAGTACTCAGCCTAACCAGGGGCTGGACAAATAAGACCGTAGCTCTTAACTCGAATCCAAAATACACCTGTGTACGGAGGTCAGGTGTCACGACATCCTGACACGGGTCCATGCGTTAGAAGTTGATTCTCTCTTCATAAAGTGACAGCAACAGCAGAATGCCCCAGCCGGTCAAAAGCCCCAAACTCTGGAGCACAAATACCAGCCAGGGTCTCTTGTTGCTCACGTGAACCATGGTGGGCAGCTGGAGGTAAGACAATAAAACCAAGAGTTCCAGTTTAGTTAGAACCACAATCCTTTGGTAATCATTGATTTTTGTCTTTCAGTGACTGTTTGCCCAACACTCACCATATCAGCCAGTCCCACATACAGAAACAGCCCCGCAGTGATGGCAGCGATCCACTGTGTGGTTGCAAGGTCACTGGCAACAGACAGAGCGATGTACAGACCAACGAACGACGTCATGGCACTGCTGATGTTTAAAAGCAACGCCCTGCGCACGGAGACGCCGCTGTGCAGCAAAATGGCAAAATCACCTGGAGACGAACAAAAACAACGTAAAAAATAAGATGATCATAAAAGGAACACACACACACACTCAGCTGTCTAGGTGACATATTTGTACCCAGTTCATGTGGGAGCTCATGGCAGAGCACAGCCAATGACGTGGCCAAACCAGACTTCCATGACAGCGAAAACGCGGCGCCTAGGGCTAATCCATCTGCAAAGTTGTGGATCCCGTCACCGATGGTTATCATGTAAGGCAGCAGTCGCTGCTCTGCAGAGACAGGCAGACAGACGCCATAATGAATGTCATTATCATTACTGCATGATACCAGCCCTAATGTTCTGCCAGCTCACCTTTGGTGCGCTCCTTGGGCTCTTTGTGTGGTTTTTCGTCATCGAAGCCAACCTGAAATGATTGATTTCTCAGGTGAAAATGCATCTACAGATGATAATCGACATCAAATCTCTAGACCAGGACACCTTTCATTTTATTTGAAATATTAATGGATGATAATCGACATCAAATCTCTAGACACCTTTCATTTTATTTTGAAATATTAATAGATGTTTTCTCACCAGGTCTGCTTTGGAAGGTGACTTGTCTTTTTGCTTTCTTTCCTGTTGATACATCTCTAAAACCAACCCGTGGTCACAGTGGTGAGGCTCGGCTTCCTCCTGAAACAACAGCAGAAAGATATCTTTAAACCCGTGGTTCCCAACCCCAGTCTGACATCACAGATTTGAATAATCTTTTTAATCAGATATTTGGCGAGTCTACTTTTGGGGTTAACTTTGTAAAAGAAATAACCTATGAATGACTTGCAAAAAAAGGCTAACTCTGTATTGCTGTTAGTCTCTGTACTCACTGCATGATGGTGTTGATGATGGTGTCGGTTTTCTTTATACGTGACCAGAGAGAAGATCGTTTCCATCAGGTAAAAATAGTAAATCCCAGCCATCACCACCAACATCTTGTAGATGTAGTCTGGAATTTCCTCCTGGTGTGTGTGTGGTGACTGTGTGTGGTCGTGGTGGCCTCCTTCATTGTCTGAGTGCACGTGTAAACCCAGGAACTGGACGAGGACACACAGAGATGAGAGCAGTCTGAGCACACACACCTGTCTACTTCAAACACCTGTGATGCAGAACCGAGCACCTACCATGGGTAAGAGGTGCAGCAAGGCGTCCCCGGTCAGAGAGCCTACAGCCAGGCTGATGCAGAACTGGATACAGTACTGAAACACACTGGTGCAGGAGGTGCACAGCAGCAGCACGATGCCAAACATGGACGTCAGCGTTATGATGACATTGGCAAGAGTTGCATAGAGGTATCCTAAAGGAGGAGGAAGGAGAGACGGTGAGAGGACTGAGGAAACAATGGACCAATCACGGCTCAGACGTCTACTCTGGAGCTAAGGTCACAGGTGGTCATCGTCAACTCTTACTCTCAGTCACAGTGAGTCCGTCTGGTTTCACTGGCTTTGTGTTGTCTGTGCAGGCTCCACTCAGGATCTGTTGGACCAGAGCAGGGCTGAGCCGGGCCAGGTCGGACCGACCCAGGACGGAACTGTTGTCGGCCGCTTTACCCAGGATCAGGACCAGCTCCTCGGCTGAGAAGCAGCGCTGTGAGGAATGGTGACGTGTGTTAATGGTTAGCTTACTGATTAGCTACGGAGGCATTTTGAGCTGTTTACAGGTATATATTTTAAGGGCGTTGATAGAAAATGAGCCTGACATTCAGTTACAGTCAAACTAATTACACTAATGAGGTCAGAGATAAGGGAACTTATCATCAATCTTAATGTCTTTTAAAGACTTTTCTGTATCCATGGCGCTAACAAATCATTAATCAAAGTGACACACTTTGATTAATGATTTTTATGGCCTTTACCTAGAGCTGACCTATTTGTGGCCGTATTTCCTGCTCTACAATCTGTGGTTCAACTAGGGCTGAATGTCAAGTGAACCGACACTGTGAATATTTCAATGTCAATTCTTAAGAAAATAATATATTGCAACATTTCAGTGTATCAGTATTTTCTTACACCCTCAGGTCCTACCTGATCCCAGGTGCCGTTTCTTTCCTGCCCCTCATTTAGATGAAGACTTCTCCTCTTCCTCCGCCTCCCACCGCTGTGGTCATGATGGGCGTGTCCGTCCTCATGGTGTTCGTGTTCACCTTCATGGTGTTCATGTTCACCTTCATGGTGTTCGTGTTCATCAGTGAGGCCGATGTTTAAACTTCTCATCAAAGCCTTTAATTCTGTAAAGACCCAGAGCTGGTGTTTGGTTCCACGTTGACAGAAGAAAAAACAGTGAAGATACAGAAGTGTTTACTGGAGGTTTACCTTCAATGGTGAAGTTTTCTGACCCCACGTGGCCCACGATGTAGTCCAGGAAGAAGCTCTCCTCGGGCAGGGAGTGGCCGATGAAGCAGTGACCTCTGAGAGCGTGATATAATACTCTGCCCAAAACAGCGCCCACTTCCTGTTGTTGCCCAGGCAGTGATGCGTTGACCTCTGCCATGATGTCAGCAGGTCTAACACAGCTCTGTATGGACAAGAGGAAAGAGAGAAAGATGAAGTCAACACATGTCACATGGAGAACTGCAGCAATCAGAGTTCACCTTAAAGTTGACAAAGGAAGTGAAGCTGAAATAATAGATATTATTTTCAAATTAACATAGAAAATAGAATAATAATCATAATAGAATAGAACTGGTAAAAAGTTGAATAATAATCATAATAGAATAGAACTGAGAAACAGGTAAAAAGTCGTGACTGAACTTCATTTTACCTCCCTTTTTTTTGCCTCCCAGATTGGTAAAAAGGATTTATTTGGACTGCTTCAAAATCATCATGGGGTCCAGGAACTAACAATACAACATTGTGAAGTGTCATTCCAGAACCTACCTCACTGTGTTCAGGCTCATAGTGATGCTGAAGCTCCTGGAGCACAGTCTCCAAACCATGAACGTCCATGTGGTCGTGAGCGTGCTCAGTCCGGCTCTTCTCATGTTGGTGTTCATGATGCTCCCCGTGTGTGATCTCGTGAAGGAAGTGCTCCGTCTCCTCCGCCCACCTCCCCTGACGTATGGCCGTGCAGACCGCTCCAGGAGAGGTAAGGTGGAGCACACAGCCGGCAGCGAGCTGGGTGAACTGGGACACACTGATTGTTACATTCTCCAGGCTTCTTCCAGCTTCATCCTCCTCTTCCTCCGCCCCCTGGTGGCTGGAGTGGTTACTGATCAGCTGATGGAGGCCTTCTGTGAGATCACACTGTGGAGAGAGCGTACAGTAGAGGTTCAGCTAAGACACCAATTACGCCACAAGACAAAAAACAAATCTAAATTCATGCATCCTTAAAATTTCTTCTTCTGTCTTTGTGATGTAATTTAGGTAAAAATTAACTGAACATAGTCAATATAGTCAATAGTAAATTATTTTCTCAGCTCTTGCTGATGTGTGATCTACTCCTCAAAACAATTAATAAATATTTTTTTAGCTGATTTTGGTCAACGCCATGGCCAACATCTGTGGTCCAGATCAGACATGATTGTCTGGATCAGTACCAGGGACAGGAAGCAGAGGAGGAGGTTAACATGAACCTACAAGGTCTTTCAAGCCCAGGGTGACATGATACTGTGGGTCAAAGAAAGGTTTATGATTTTACTGTGGATTTTACTACACACCCTATCAACTGTAGATAATGGGTCACAGCAGTTCACATCATATTAATACTCTGCCTCGGTGTTTGAACTATTTCAGAAATGATGTGACAGAAAATGAAATCACTAGACACTCATTTTTTTATTTCTTGTTTTTGCTACAAAGAAGGTTCTTAATGTCACAACTTTTCAAATAATAAATGAATGTGATTTATGTTCTCATTAATAGATACTTTATTGAGGAACTTTGTTTTGTATCTGACAGACGCAAAGGCCGGACTCAAAGTTCAAAGATTATAACTTTCTGTGCATAAAAAAAAACAGAAGAAGTGTTGGAAAAATGGCATCAGTAATGACATGTATTTTGACTGAGGAGTTAGAATTTCTAGACTCTCTAAAATTAGAAAATTATAGGATTTCTTTTCCTATAATTTTTTTATTTAAAATTAAATACAATGTTTTTGTCTTTTTTTACTTTAGAATTTATAAATTAAAGTCATACTTTTTTTCCTTATAAACTATTAATTGTAGACAGGAAAGAGAGAATAAAATAATCAGAAGGGGAAAAAAGGATTTGAAGCTTTAATCTTTGCAAATTTCCTCAGAATTCTTAGACCAAGATTAGAATTTAGTCACTTTCTTTCATATTGAAACAAAAAGTCAAAGAAAATTGTTACTTTCATCCTAAAATTCTGTTATTTAATTATTAATTTTTTTAAAATTACTGGCTTTTCTACCTTTTTAATAAAATGTTTTTTGAGGTGAAAAAGTGACAGAAATACGACTTTCAACTTCAACCGTTCCTGAAAATGTGACATTATTATTATTATTATTAATATGTCGTAGTTGTCTACAGATTTGAGTTAAACTAAATAATAAATAATATGCCTGTATTTCAGCAGGTAGCCCCGGCAGCGTTACAGCTGTGGACCTGGACCTCTCCACCCGGCTCAGGCGGACGGAGTTAAAATCATAAAACTCACCTTTTCACACGACACGTCGCTGCCGCGGCACTGCACACGTTTCTCCAGTGTATTAAAGAGGAAGCGGAGGGAGTCCCCGCTCAGAGACTCCTGTCCGGGGGACACGGCGCTCCCTGTACACCTGCTCCACAACGGGGGACGCCGGTACGGAACCGAACACTCCCACCGCCACCACGAGAATGAACGGAAAAAACACTGAGGAAATCATCTTTAAAAAAAGAGTCAAGTTTGTAAAATGGCGAGAAAAAAAAGGTGCCGTTAGATGTCGGTGTGTTTCTACTCAGGGGGTGCTTTCAGACACACACGGTTCTGGTTCTGGAGTGTGACAACTTTGGTGCTTTCTGGTCAACCAGTCCGCATTCATACCAGTTTAAGTGGATCCGAAGTGGGCGGAGGTGATTTCACGCCAGTTTGGTGGGAGGAACCAAAGTAGGAGGATGTTACTGCGTGTAACTGTGGAGACAAGGATAGCGACTGCACAATGTCAGATCGTGTGGAGCATATGAGGTCTTTAGTTCTGTGTGGAGCAGCCGTTTATGGAGGCAATTATATATGTTGCAGAGACGGGTACTGGAGCGAACAACAAAGCAAGTCAACAAAAAAGTAATGGAACTTTAAACCATTAAAGTCATCAGAGACATCATCCACGGACACAGCACCGGTGGGAGGGTGTTGTACCTGGCTTTGATGACCTGTTAATGAGGAACTTGCGGATGACCCGGGATTCTTTTACTCATTGGGCCAGTAGATGGCAGTCTCATCCCAGTATTAGCGCCCGAATTATTCCCACGTGACTATATTAATAACATTCGGGGATGTCTATCAAAGCTGGAGTCGCCTGTAGAAAAGATATATATATATATGGGGGTAAATACATAAATAGTATTTACCCCCGAGTTTGTTACTCAGGAGTTATAATAAATAATATTGTTAATAATATTGTGATAACTGATAAAGTTTTTTAATCTGTACACTCTTTGTTTAACTGCAACATGCAATGTCCGCTAGAGGGCAGAGTCTTGTCAATATCTAGCAGAGCGTCAGTACAACTGTCCTCGATGTGACTATTGTTATTATAATTATATAATATATATTATATAACATATATATTATATAACATATATATATTATATAACATATATATTATTATATACATTATTATTATGTGACTATCCTCTTAATTATAACATTTTTCTAACACATCGGTGAAAATTTTTTCCTGATTATTTGCAGAAATAAAACATGCTCAACGAATGGACAATTTTGTCTCTCACCAACCACATAAAAAAAATAGTTTTAAAGTTTCGGCCAATAGATGAGTGTACGCTTTTCAGTCAGCAGAGGGCGAAATCATGTAGACAACCCTTTGATGGGAACTTTAACTTTATAAAATAGATATCTTTCGACAGGAGAAAAATAAATAAAATAAATAAATAAAATAATGATGAATAATAATAATACTGATCGAAATACAGGTAACATTTGAATCTTTAATAACTGTGCGACTGTTTGAAATCTTTGTAACTAAAGTAGATGAGTTCGCTACCGTGAATGCTGCGTTTATACAGTATTTGTCAAACCGTTATGTTATTTAATTTCCATTTTATAATATTAACAGCTGTGTTGATGATACAACTAACGTTACTGATTAAAATCATGGACATAAACAGACACATCAGCGAGATCAGCATTCTGTAACTATAGTGACAGAGTTGCGTCACCGTCAAACAGCGTCGTCGTAAACGTGAGCTAGCACATTTGCTATCCTTAGAAACGGCAAAATAAATAAAAGGTCAGCCATTTTCTCTTGTCGTCCCCACGCTTTTATCTTAGATAATTATTAAGACGTTATATCACACTATATGTTGTTGGACGTTAGCTTCTTATTTTGTTATTGCTTTTTCTCAATTTGTTCAGCGGAACCCTTTGTTTCCTCTCCGCAGTGACGGAAGCGGTGTCGTTGGGAACGGAAACCAAATCTGTAAACACCAGTTAGCAGCAGTGTGAATTCACTTACGTTTACAATTCCACTGGAATAGAGACCTGCAATGTTCAAGAACACCTTCCAAAGCGGATTTCTGTCTATTTTATACAGTATCGGCAGCAAACCTCTGCAGATATGGGACAAAAAGGTAAATGGAGGCACAGCGTCAACGTTCTCTGCTTCATTAGCTCTTCATGCTAACGAAGAAGTAACTTACAATTTGTCAGTGTTTGAATGTTGTTGCATTTTCTTGTTCTTACAATTTGTCAGTGTTTGAATGTTGCATTTTCTTGTATGTTGAATGTAATGCTAACGACTGTCTGAGGGTTGTATGGTCTTCAAGATTCTGATGTAATCTTTTAAATAATAATTAATACATGAATGTATCTGTTAATTACTGTCTTAATCACAACATTTCCACAGCACTGACATAAATTCCTGTCTTAATCACAACATTTCCACAGCAGTGACATCTTGTTTGTGCAGGTGAGAAATGGACACATAAAGAGAATCACAGACAACGACATTCACTCATCAGTGTTGGAAGTCGAAGGGACGAACGTGAGGTGAGGGTTTAACTCAGAATGTAATGTTTTAACGCGTAGACTTGACTCTCACGTCCTCTGTATTTCTCTGACCTCTACAGCACCACCTACATCACATGTCCAGCAGACCCTAAGAAGACATTGGGCATAAAGCTGCCATTTCTGGTCATGATTATAAAGAATCTTAAGAAGTATTTCACATTTGAAGTCCAGGTAAGAAGAGCTTCTACACGTGGATTTATTGACATTGACACAATAACAGCATTTTACTTGACCGTACATCCTTACATCTTAGGTCTTGGATGACAAAAATGTCCGGAGACGTTTTCGAGCGAGTAACTATCAGAGCACGACGCGGGTGAAGCCGTTCATCTGCACCATGCCCATGAGGCTGGACGACGGCTGGAACCAGATCCAGTTCAATTTGTCAGACTTTACCAGGAGAGCATACGGAACCAATTACATTGAAACACTGCGTGTACAGGTCAGCTAAAGTAGCCTCAGAGATAATAAACTGAGTACACATGTACATCACTGTCTTCATGTCTGTTTTCTGTTAATCCTCAGATTCACGCCAACTGTCGAATCAGACGAGTGTATTTCTCAGACAGACTTTACTCTGAGGATGAGCTTCCGGCAGAGTTTAAACTCTATCTTCCTGTCCAGAATCAAAAGGCCAAGGTGAGTCACACACTTTGACACTGACCCGACCATGAACTGCACATATAGTCTTTGTAAGCAGTCAGTTAATATTTGTCTGCTTTGTGTTTTACAGCAGTAGAACTTCTGGGCCTGAAACATTCCACCAACACTGACGTCTGTGTAGATAAAAAACTTTAATATTGTATTTTTTGGACTGGAGTTTTGTTCTGTGCTGTGAACTGCTAATAAAGATTTTTATGGACTAACACTAATAGTAGAGTTGGATATTTTGAGGGTTATGGGGCTTATTATACTGTGATCAAAATGTGTGTTAAAAAAAAAAACAGAAATAAAAACAGAGTCCAGTTTCATCAAATATAAACAATCTTTATCCAACAACAAATTATTTCAAGTAAATGTCCATCAAAAATAATGATCATTTCCAAACCGTGATTTTATTTCCCCTTTTTATAAATAATTTTATAGAACTGAAAACTTCAACATAAGGACGTGGTCAATGTTGGGTCAGATATAACACTGCCATGGACAACCTGAGAGATGAAGGGTTTCCATCAGATCTATTAATAAACTCTAAACTTAATATAAACAGGGATGATTTTAAAACATTGGCTCAAAGTTGATTTTGAGTTTTTCTGTTTTCTTGATTTTTCTGTTTCTTGGCAGTTCGTTGTTTTTGACACTGGCTAACAACAATACACACTGCCTGTACTTTTGTATTGAATGCCAAAGCTACCAAGTTCAAGATAGTGCACATAAAATAAACCAAACAATTGTCAAAGCCACCGCCACCTAGTGACCATATGTGGACATGCCTGTTAAAAGTGGTATTATAGCTGCCGTTTGTGCAGTGAGAAAATGTTGTGAAACTATCCTGCCAAGGAAACACGAATCACTGATTCAATCACAGGCTCATATTGCTCAATACTTAAATTATAGTTGGACTGAATTCCTTCTGAAGACTGAGGATGTCCTACAGAGGGTAAATATAACAGTGGTGTGATGGTATTGGCAGCTGAGAACAGAGATGTCCTCTCCTTTTAAAATATTTGGTCTCTTCCTGCCATAAATCTGTTGGTGTATCCATTGTCTCTCTCCCTCCTCTCTCTCTCTCTTTTACACCCATGTGCAGTTAAAGCGTTTTTTGCACTGCAGGCACTTAACACATTCAACAAGAAATGTCAACAACATCTGGTTTGAAAACACCATTTGAAAATACTACCACGTGTATTGGGACACCGTCGTACTGAAACGGTATCAGACGACCAGACCAGTGAATCACATTAGATCTAGAGTATATAGAGTATATAAAAATCCATATATATATATATATATATATATATACTCTCCCTATAGAAACCCTGTGAAGAATACATTCATAGAAATCTATTGCTCTGACGGCATGCATCTCTTTAAAGTGCAAAACAAATCAATTTGTTCAGATCAATGTAAATCAACCACTACATCAAACAAACAGGAAACATAAATACTGTGTTAAAACAACTGCATCCACGTCAACAAATACAATAATTAATATAAAGTACAAAATGAAACGTTGGTCACAGAAAATCTGACCATGCAGCATGTTCTCCTTAGATAAAAACATTGTTTTCTCGTCTTGTGAATAATCTTTTTTTTTTCACAGATTCACCTTTTATAAATGTCATTTAAAAATGCCGTACAACTGCATCAAAGATGAAGATGTGTGTATAAATACACACTCAGACAGAATAGTCAAACTGTGCCTGTGGACGGACTGATTCAGCTATCCTGACCTGGATTATCAACAACAACACCAGACACAAGTGCATTTGGTTTTGTTTCTAGTAAAAATCTCACTTTTGTTTCACCATCAGAAATTCCCAGAACATTAGTGGAAGAAACTGGAAAATCAGAATTCTCATTTGATCTGTTTTTTTTTTTAAATGACTTATTGAAGTATGTTTTTACAGTTATTCCTGGTATTTATTAGCAGGCTGATATCAGAGGCTGGAGTGTGTGTGTGTGTGTGTGTGTGTGTGTGTGAAGTCTCATGTGCTGCTCTCATTATGAGTGACATAGTAGTCATGGACATACATCAACACAGCGACCGGCTGACCAATGATGATTGAGATCCACACGGCAGCGTTTCCATAGTTTCCACTGAGATAGTGACTCACTACCCAGGCCAGAGGAACCTGCAGGGGTCAAAGGTCAGACCAGGTCAAGCCCAGCAGCAGCAGCAGCAGCAAAGAGAGAAGAGGTTGTAACGGTATTATTTAGATGAATCTTACCTGGAGCAACATTCCCATGAAGGCCCAGAACCTGAACATCTTCAGAGGAACACTGACCAGGTACTGAAGAGGAGAAGACAGAGCAGAGATCCTTGGACTTTTGATCAGGATTAAAGTAAACTGGAAATTATTCTTTTACGTTAGTTAAAAAAATAAATTTTAGAAGCTAAACTACACGTGGAATAGTGATTGTGAGATGATTGAATCTCCTATTTTTACCTCGTGGAAGAAGGCTGATAGAAGAAAAACTGCAGTTTTTGCCATGAACTTGTTGGTTCCTTTCCTCAGCAGTGGTCTATAGAAGTGTCTGGAACATTTGAAGAGACAGAGGACACGTGTCATTCTGCCTGTTGTTGGTGCGGTTTAAACATCACACATACATATCTTTGGGCTGGACTGTACCTCAGACACCACTTGTGAACGGGAACGTTCCAGTTGGACCAGAAGTAGGTGACGGTCTCAGAGTTCCTGAGACAAACTGGAGTTTAAACAGACTGACTTACAGAGCACTGAGATCCTAACTATAACACAAACACGTGTCATCCTACAATGTTACCACAATCCTAACTATAACACAAACACGTGTCAGCCTACAATGTGAGATCCTAACTATAACACAAACACGTGCCATCCTACAATGTGTGTACCACATGTGGTAGAATAGTCTGTGTACATGCTTCATTACTTGTGTGTACACAGTAAATGAATACAACACAACACTGATGACTGTTCACATGTACTCACCACCAGTCTCTGTAGAATTCTCTGTCTCCAAACTGCAGCAGCTCTGCCACAAAATTCATTGAGGAATGAAAAAACCAATAGAAGAATATTAACCATATGAAATGGTTGGGGACCTGGGAAGATGGAAGGAGAGTTAAGAATTGAAGGGGGAGGAGGGAGCAGGGAGAAGGGAGGAGGGGGGTAAGGAAGAGGCAAGTTTGGGAGATTGTTGTCTTGTCTTTGTCCAAAGTGAAGAGGAGTTAGGAATCAAACCCCCAACTCTCCAACTTTTGACTTTCTCACTACTTACAGCTAATTTTAACATGCGCTCCACCATCCTGGAGAAGTCCATTTCCTTTGAGGGACAAGAAAAATGTCTGTATCAATAAACATACATCCTACATACACCAGAAAAGACATTTTACACTGTAGAGAATGGAGTTTCCTTATTACACAGACCTGGAATGGTTTCATGGAGTTCTGTATTGTGGGAACGATCCACTGAAAGACAAGTTTGACAAGTTGTATTTTATGGGTTAGATATTTGAAAAAGATCTCCAAAAAGACAAACAGATATTTTCTTTACCACTGTTGAAGTGTGTGCACTGGTTCCTGTTTGTCGTGTTATTTGTTTTTACACACCTGTTGTATTAATCCCACCAGGAGCTGCATGAGGAAAAGCTGTGAACCAGGGCAACATGAGTGACATGATGAGCAGTGAAGTCTTTGGGTTTAGTGTGTACAGTGTGTGTGTGTGTCTGTGTGTGTGGACAGTCTCACCATTTCAAGCAGTCTTCTGATCAGGAACCTCTTACGCACTCGTGAAGACCGTGGGAAGTTGAGTTGGTAGCAGAGAGTGGGGACAAATATGAAGTAGTACATGTCTGAGACGGACGAAGAAAAATGAAAATCATTGGTTAATATTTAAAAACAAAATCAAACCATTCAACTGATGCTGCAGCAGGACTGGTCCTTACCTCTGTGGGTGAGGTTTCCTGGATAAGAGACTCGAGTGGAAGCTGAGAGGTTATTAGAGTCAGCCACAGATGGACCTAAAGAACACATCCAATCAGAAGGTGGCTGAGCCTCAGGACGATCGAGTCGATCTTTCACTTACTGTCATTCACACAGTTGTTCAGTGGTTTCATAAATACATTTAAATAAAATCTTTGTTCATTGGTGATCACAGGAATCACATTACAGTCTTAAAAAAAAAGAGATAACTGTGTTGGTCTATGGTGGCACAGACTGTCGTTCCCACATGCTACCGCTCGATGGCAGTAAAACACCTCCTTTGGTTTTGGACCATAGTAAAGTCTAGTGGAACTCACATGAATGAGATCGTGTCAGCCTTTTAGCTTTGGCCTGTCTGATTTCTCTGCACCATCTGTTGGTGTCTTTGTAGGAGTAGAGCTTCAGGAACAGGACGGTGTAGATGCCCAGAGAGACAAAACTCCCCACTGACAAACACACACACACACACCACTGTTTACAAAACACAGTAAGTAACGGGTAAAAACAGGAGAGCTTGTGTGTGGAGTGGAATGAAATACAAATGTTTCCAGACTGATTAGACCATTCCATCCTTTTACTTTACATGTACAGGTTAAATGTCGTACCTGGGGTGATGGAGGTCACAGAGAGAATTAAAGCTGTAGGGAAGATCAACAGAATGGTCAGGTTTAAACTGTGAAGGATCAGCCCTGTGGTTTCAGAGATGGTGCCCTGGGAAAAAAAGAAAAACATCAGGAATCTTTTTTTTTTACAACGTGAAAAGCTTTGTCAATAAACAAATATTTATTATCACATGTTCAAACAGTCGTTGAATCTTATCTGCATATCCTGCAGAGTTCTTATCAGAGTTAAATATATATTTGAGTCCAGGTGCTGTAATGTTGACTCTACTGTCAGGACACCAGGAAGTCAAACTCCCGTCCCTGACTAACATCCATGAACAATGATACATATATTAATATGATAGTAACAATGCTTGAAAATAATACCAGAAAAAACTGTCATATTTGCAGTAAATAAAAAAATATTAATACCAGAAAAAACTGTCATATTTGCATATTTGCAAAATATTTTTGTGACTTGTTTACAAAGTATTATAAACAAGTCCAAACTGACCACAGCCAGACGTCTCTCTGTGTACAAAGCTGCCAAGATAAAAAAGTTGGACACTGAAATAATAAGAAGAGAAGAAGAGATTATTCAACATCAACAGGATATTTTAACAACTGGACACGGTAAATTAACACATATTTTTTATGCAATTTTATTAATAGACAATTTGAATAATTCCAATGTACAAGTTAACATTGAAACATATGAAAAGACTATTTTAATAAAAGGTTCTCACCAATGATGAGGCAAGCTGCAGGCCAGCTATAGGGGTCCTTAAGGAAAAGAGACACTACTTGGATAGGGTCAACCAAGATACCGTACCTGGATGAGAAAAAAGTACACAGTGTGTAAAGATATGGCATAAAGCCTGGTCAGTGTTTGTTGTGGACACGTGTGCAGTGATAGACTCACTTTATAATGTTCTCCAGACACAGACGTGCGTTGGTCAACCCCTGACAGAGAGGACAAAAGAAGACGATTACTCACTGTGTCTTTAAGACTTATTTTGCAGAGAAGGTTAAAATCTCTGACCCTAAATCTGGCTCATCTTCTGACCACAGACCTGTTTCTGGTTAGTCTGCATCTTTGAAGGCCATTGTTTTTCCTGAGTCTGCTTCAACACTTCACTGTTGTAAACACAACACATGCTGCGCTGCAGCTTTGCTAGCTGGACTTTTTTTTTTTTAAAGTAATATCTTGTCAAATGTTTTCAGAACTTGACTTTTGCTCAGTCAAATGACAGCTGCCCTGGAAGAAGTGCATTTGTTCCACTGATGTGGTTCCAGTGTTGGTGTAAACCCTGTTATCAAACAGACTCTCATTCTGCTGCACTTTATTATTTTATTATGTATTAAAGTCCATGTTCCAGGTCTAGTTCAAGGTTCTGTTATCTCTGTTAGCTCCTGATCTTTCAGAGCGGCATCACTGCATGTTGTGTTGCATATGTATATATGTAGATATATATGTGCATATATACAGCATATGTACCTTCTATGGGAGTTTCAGAGACAGGTGAGATTTTGTGGACGAGTCAGGACACGACACATGACAAGGTCGTGCTCTAGTCTTTATGTGGCATCTTGAACCTCAGCCCTGTGCTGCCGTCACCCTGCAGCTACAGTATGTGGTTCTGATCCAACTGTGAATTTTGTCCGAGCCACTGACCGGGGTCTCAGTAACCTTTTGCACAGACAAGAGTATCGCTAACTGTGAATTACAAAGATAGGTCGAGGACAATCCCTAGGCATTTAGAAATAATTGTTAAACTCAAGACTGTACCGTCGTATTTTTGACTTGATCTAAAAAAAGAATGTAGTTTAAAGTTCAAAACAACACACTTGGAGCTGGCAGTCGTTCAGATTCTTCCAGCAGCTGATGAAGTCAAGTCCAGCTGGTTGTGAAGAAACTGTATCTGTTCAGAGTTTAATCCTAAATCTGTAATCTCTAATCTAACTCAAATATTAATGTTTTATCTGATTGTCCTGACCTCAAGGTGTCTGTGCAGGAAAATTCAGGTCCATTGACAAACACAGTTGGTGACCCCCGGTCTGTACTGTTCCTGAGAGTCAGTGAGTGAAGACCTTTTATATATTAGCTTTGTACTGTTTTGTTTTGTTTTTTTAATAATAAAAGTGCTGTGTTAATTTGTAACAGCAGCAGTATCTCCATGCTCCACAACATTACTCCTGAACAATCTGAACTGAAGCTGTGACCATTTACTGAGGGAGGGGGCAATCAAATAATACAGTTATAAAAAGTAATCACATTCTGCATTATATCTCTCTTCAGGGTTGGCCTTGACAGAATTGGTGCACAGACACACGTCTGCTCTTCTATATATAGCCTGGATCCATGACAGTTTCAGTCAGTGGCTCCCTGCCTATTAAATTACAAATAAAGACCAGGTTTTCAGTAGGGCTGAGTCTAGAGACAAGTGCAGCATATAATGACCCCAGTCAATGAGCTCAAAGTGTTCTTGGTGTTGGTGTGGAGTTATCAGCCCTTAGTTGACCTTGGATCATCTCATTAGGTTTGACACAGTATAAATAAGATCTGTGTAGCAACCTAAACTGTGTGATGTGTGTATTTAATACCTGACTAATAAGTCACTGCTGCTCCTTTTCATGCTATTACACTATACGGTCTAGTTATAAGACTATAAAAGGAAACAGGTAGAACAAGTTCAGTTGATGATTCAAATAAATGCAGGACAGGTGTATGCTGTATGTGTTATCTTTATATGAAGCTAACAGCAAAAATGTTACCGTGTGTTATCTTTATATGAAGCTAACAGCTAAAATGTTATCGTAATCCTATATAACATGATAGAGAATTTTTTTTTCTGTACAAATTCCCACATGACTTCACTCACCAGCATGATAACACACCAGTTTAGGATCCCTCTGTAGTTGCTGTAACCACTGGCCGAGCTCAACAGAGACTCCTGGAGAACGTGGCAGCTGAAAGAAAACACAGAGTGAAGATTTTAGGATCAAGACTTCTTATTTAGCATCCTCCAAACCTTGTGCGTGGTTTTCCAAATGGATTAAATCGCTGTGCAAATCAGGGACTCTCAAATGTCAGATCATTTTAGTCAACGTAAAAGAGAAGGCCTTGATTTTAAATTTGAGTTTGATGCACATTTATTAACTTTTCCCTGAATTAAATACAAACTCCTCTGAAATCACTCTGTCACTTCACAGCTACAACGAAAGAAAATATGACACGTATTGATTTCATTTTTCTAACTAAGAGTAGGCACGATGTTGTGAAAGTTTAGCTCGAGGGATTATTAGCCACAGATTGTGCAACGACCTCACATCTTTACACAACTGCATATACTGTATGTGACAGGAAAAGAGGAGATAAATGAGAAAGATAAGCAAAAGTTGATAAAGTCAGCAATAGTAACAGTGAAAACAAAAAAGGCTAAAAAGTGTGATGTTATCCATTGAAAGAAAAAGAAAAAAGTGCAGAAATACATGTAACCACAGCATGGCACAGAAGTATTCCACAGCGTCATACAGGAACTTGTAATTACACATCTCGCCGTGTTGGCAGAACTCCAGTAAACACAGCACAAGAACTTTGTTTCAACACTGAACTTATAATATGACTCTCTAAATGAAACAAGTTCTTCTGTTCATATTCTGAAGGAGTCATGTCATGTCATGGTCAAGTCTCACTTTGAGCTGTCATATCTGGGCACTGCTGCTGTGGCCCAGTGGGCGGGGACATGGACTTCAACCCACAGGTTTAACGGTCAAAAACACCTGACCCCAAATGTCCCATCATTCCAGAGGTGTTTAGTGTCAGTCCCAGGTTGAGTGGAGAAGAAAGGATGTGAATGACAGTATGTCTGAGGAATTCTCTGATGAAAAAAAAAAGTTTTATGAGGATGTTTTAAATCAGATAACTTGGCCATTCTGCGGGTTGTTGTCTCATATTTGGAAACGAAGTAGTAGTGAAAGACAAGACAAGTTTATACACATTTTTAGCCCAAATGTCCCAATTTTAGACGACTACATTTCATTGACTGAAGTCCCGAGGTAGTTAGAATGGCATTACAGTCTAAAGGAATTCGTAAACGAAATAAGGAAAACATTTAAATTATTCAAATCAATTTGAACATTTTGAGCTCAACAAATTGAACAAATGATATCTTGTATCCTTCGTGTCAGAATATAACAGCTCCTCATACGAAAACAGTATAAAAGGCTACAGGACCGTTAAGACTGACCGTTAAAACGGGAAGTAACATGTAAAAAAATGAACGTATATCTAATTGGAAGACATTCAATATTACCTGAGTCTTTCGCTGACGTCGTCTTCAGCACTCTTTTGTTTCCTCAGGCTGCTCTGTCCCGCTGGCATCCTTTGGTTCGTCTTCTTTTCGCCGTCACCCACATCACTGAGCTGCTCACCCTCTGCCCTGCTCTTAACGGGAGACTGGCCACATTTCGCACGCTTTTCATTCACCTTGCTGCCGCTGGTCGGCTGCGCTGTGGCCGCTCCACAGCTGGAGAGGGTTTTCCTCCTCCGGCGGGTTACGGGCCCACTCCCATGGTCTAGGTCGCTCATGTCAGAGGAAGCTGACTCGAGTTGTATTTATCTGGCTTCCATTGAAGGTCAAATTTACGTCTCTTGTCTCCGTGGGCTTTTCTCCGTAGCCTCACAGCAGGAGTTAACCGGTCCGTGTCCAGTTCACTCTACTCAGCTGTGGCGTTAAGGCGGGCCATTAGCGCCGCCGCCGTTCAAGGTGCAAAGTGTCAGCTGGGTTGCCAGATTTGTGTTTCAAGCGATATCCCCTTATCAAAATAAGAGTCTTAAGCAATTTCCGGATCGGAAAATTCTATTTAATTTCTGGTAAAAATCAATGTTATTGTAAAATACCCTTACAACATATGGAACAATTTCATTGACCTCTTTAAATAAATGTTTTTAAAAAAAAATCCGAGTGACATATGCTTCATGAGTTTTTTTTAAAATCCGACTGAGATATGCTTCATACAAGACTGGAATTTTTGGAAGACTAGTTTAGATGAATGTTAGCTAGAAGGCAGGCAAAAATAATCTCGGTGAAGTCAAACTGAAAGTATATTAAAAAACAAAATCCCACTATAGATGATAGAATGATAAATTAAAAAATATGTAATTAACTCTCACTAAGTAATTCAAATTGCCATGATTTAGTTAAGAAATTAAAACCTGTAACTGTAAACTACAATCAAGAACGGCGGAGAAGAAAAAACTTGGTCACATGATATTTTCGGACCAATCACAGCAAACCGGAGGTAGTTCTAGGCGCGTTACCTCCGGCAGCCGACTGCTGGCTTTAATGTGTTAACTTTAAAACATTACAGACGTTTAATGTGGGTATTTTGTCATTCCATAACCGGTCAATGACCCATGAAAACCTGGTGCACTATTGGACTGTTTTTTTAGAGAGAAATGAAAAGGATTAAAAAGAAGAAAATAAACGCTGGGTTTGAAGTGAATGGGAACGAAGCTGCTACAAAAGGTGAGGCTACGCAAATACAGTTACTGAATAGCGTTTAACCAAGGTTTTTAAAATGTATATTTTCTTAGAGAAATCAACCCGGTTGTTAAAACCCGTGTTTTTCTATCTATTTCGACCTTGTAAGTAAATGCAGTCGGAGAAGTTTGACTTCCTGTTACACATATTAACTCACCCCACATTATGGGTTAACCTAATACTATTAGAGCAACCTGCTGACACAAACACATATTGTTTTCTTTGTGCCATTTTGCCTCGCCCTCACGCATTAACACTGAGTTACGAGGGTAAACTTTAGCAACGGATTTTGTGTTCAGTATTGCCAACGTGGCAGACGTCACTGTCAAGCTAAAAAACAAACATATGGGAAACCTGCAGGTGACAACCACACAGACAGAAGAGAACAACAATTGCAATTATGCTTAATGCATTTTATTCACACGGTATGTCTACTAAAGCTAATGTTTGTTACCTTTATTTGACTGGCTGTGGGTGTTGTCTTTTCTTTGAAGGGTTTATGATGTGATAGTTTCTATATATAAAATTCATGCTGTATAAATTGTTCACTTGCTGATTTATTTTGCCCATTTTTATTCGGTAATCTTCTCCTGTGGATTCCTCTTTTCACAACCAGAATGTAGCAAGAAAAAGAAGTTGGCTGAGATCCATCAGGCTTTGATATGGTAAGTATTTGGCATTATTTAATGGTAACTCTTGTTGGTGTTCCCCCTTTTTTTAAGAACAGAAACCCAGGTTATTGTTGTGCATGAACACAGCTACGTTCAGTGCTCACTGCTATCCTCATTTAACAAATGAAAATGTCTCACATGTTGGCAGATAGATTGCATGCAGTCATGTGAAACCTAATGTGTGTGCAAAGACAAGCTCGTGCAGAAATGCATTCTGAAATCAGCTGAACTGCTTACACCTAAACACAACAATAGTTTTCTTTGTCAGCTCCTGCATTTGGAACCACAACAGGCTGCCTTTAGTTCAGGACAGATGCCTTGTAGCCAGAGCAGATTTCTAACTGTGGGACAAAACAACATGACAGTTTAATTCTGACTCTTCAACATACAGTGATCCAGTTGACACTGGAACCCTGAGGAGAGCAGCAGCAAGTAAAGGAGGACTCCTCACAGATGAGATTAGAAGAAAAGTTTGGCCCAAACTACTAAACGTCAACGTGTACGATCTCCCACATAAACCAGGTTATTTTTAAATGGAATTTTATATTTAAATGTGTAGAAGTGTATATTTTTTTCAATGTTGAAAGTATAAGCTTTGATGGCACTACATCTTTTGTTGCAGGTCGGGATGTGAGACAGAACCACAAGGACTACAATCAGGTTCTCCTCGATGTCAGGAGGTCAATGAAAAGGTTCCCTAAAGGTGTGTGAGCGCTCGGTCTTCTTGACATTTGCTGATTTTATTTTTGACATTTGCTGATTTTATTTGGGTCTCTCCACAGGTATGCCCGCCTCAGAGAGGTCTGTGCTTCAGGAGCAGTTGATCGACATCATCCTGGAGGTGTTAAAACGCAACCCTCAGCTCCATTACTACCAGGGCTACCATGACGTGGCCGTCACTCTGCTGCTAGTGGTTGGAGAGCGCATGGCCATTGCTATGTTGGACACACTCTCCAATTATCACCTAAGGTTGTTTAATACTTCATCTGAATCATCATCATTGATGCCCTACTGTATGTTTTGGTTCTTGTTCATCCGTACAAATACATAATTATTGATGCTGTGTTTTTCATCTGCAGAGATTTTATGGACCCGACCATGGACAGCACTAAGCACATCTTAAACTACCTGATGCCCATATTAGAACAAGTTGATGTAGAGCTGCATGACTTCTTGATCAGGTATGTACAGAATATAAACAATTTTAAATTAACTTTTGCAAGTGACGCAATTGCATTTTTGTATTAAAAGTTCCATAAATGTAAAGTTGTGTTAAACTGAGCAACAGTGTCTGCAAAATTGAGATAATGTAAGAAAGGTAACAGCCACTAGAGGGCGTCAAAGTAATATTTTTCACACAGTGAACATTCCAGTAGAACGATATGCTGTAGTTTAAAAAAAAAAACCTCCTTGACTGTTTGGACCTGTGATACTAATATTTTTGCATTATAAATGGTTAGAATTCAAACAGTGCACAAGTCTGCAACTGCTGTAGACCACTGTCTGGGCTATAACAGCACTCGTACAGGTATATTTACTTCTCTGTCAGTACCTCCATTGTGTGTCTATGCTTAACACCGAACTCCAAACTTGCAAATTACCCGTTGATTCACAGACAAGCTCGTCCAAAGACAAAGAGCGTGGAAAAACACACCGCCACACACTCAGGAATAACGGCAGGATAAAAAGCTCCTGTCAGTAGCATTTGAAACGAGTGTTTGACTGCGGCGTTCCCCCCTTCTCCTTATCTCTGCATCATAATTCCTTTTACCTGCTTCCCATTCTTTCCTTTATTATCTCTCCATCACACATGCTCCTTCTCTTTACCCCACCCATGTCCATTACTCCCATAATTCTCTTTACTTACTTACTTTACTTCCCTCTATTCATCCTTGAATGCTCCTATCTAATATTTATCAACTCTCCAATTTGCGGGAGACTCTCGGGGGAATGGAGCCTGTGTCAAAAATAACTGCATTTTTATGTAAGCATCTGACTGAAAGGAGGGTCATAAGCAGTTTGTGAAGCCTGTTACAGTGTGTGTGTCGGGGTAATGAAATAACCTTGTAAGTCCCAGCATGTCATTAATTATCTTGAGCTCATTCATGGACTCGGTGTTTGTGTGTGTGTGTGTGTGTGAGAGAGAGAGACAAAACAAAGCCAAGTAAAAGATTTAATTTAAGACTTTTATCCAAGCCCTTAGAAAATCATGTTATTATACTGTATGGGTTTAACTGAGTCAGGAGTGGTCTGTTAATGTGAGACCATAACAGGTGGGTTGGTTTGGCTGTTAATGTGAGACCATAACAGGTGGGTTAGTTCAGCCGACATTCTGTTCAGCTGACTGGGTTAAGTGTGCAGAAAGTTTAGGTTTATTTCTTTTTAATTTTATTTAGCTACTGTATACGGTACTTGACCAACATCCCAAAAGGAGTGTATTTAAAATAATGTGGGATGCTACAGGCCACAGAAAACCAACGATTCATAAAACATCAGGTTGTTTCTCATGCCTTGCCTTTTTTTTGTCTGGTAGAGCTGAGGTGGGAACCATCTTCGCACTCTCCTGGCTCATCACCTGGTACGGTCACGTTCTGTCAGAGTTCAAACTCACCCTCAGGCTGTACGACTTCTTCCTGGCTTCACACCCACTGATGCCCATCTACCTCGCTGCCACGGTGAGACCACATCAAAGAGGAGGGGATAAACGCCGAGAGGCAGCGACTTTGTTTTGTCAATAATCCTGGATGGTCCTTTTGTTAATACGTGTGGACGCAGACACACACACACACACACACACACACAGGCACTCTCACACAGAGCAGCAGAGCACTGTGAAGTCACTGGACTAGTTAATTAGATACCTGCTAATGAACAGATGAGAATGGGGAGAAAAGAAGGGAGGAGAGGGGGAGAGAGAAGAGAGGAGAAGAGTGTGGAGGAGACCTGACTGTAAAGGAGAGAAAAAAGGAGATCAATTATAACATAGGTTCTGTTGGTTTATCCATGGTGTTCTATCTGCTACATGATGGTTGTTTTGGTGGGAACGATTTACATTTACACATATCATTTAGTTCTTTTTGGTTCTTCACTTGTGTGTGTGGAAAGGCCTTTTTAATGAAAGGGTTTTGTGCATATTTATTAGTCCATATAATTGCGTTTGTTTGAGGTTTTGTATGTTTTGCTGTGTCGAGGCTGGGGCAGAGGGAGAACTCTGTTTGAAGTGTGTGAAACAACAAAGCAGAATGTAGTTCATGTTTCTTTCAAGGCTGAGTACAGCTCACAGCGTGAGGACTTAACTCTTCCACTGCCCACTTCCACTGCCGCCGACCTTTTTCTGCCTCACAATTAGACGCGAAAACAGTGGATTCCGATGCCTGATGGTTCCAGCTTTAATCACTGCCGCTCACATGAGAGACTTTTAACATCTAACTACCAAATGAATCACTTGGAATATACAGTGGAATATGGGTTCTCCTGATGCAAAAGTCATACATTCATTTTATGTGATGCTCCTAATTTTCTACCACATGTAACCATGGAGTAACTTCCTATTTGAAACATGTAGAAGTTACACTGTTACATGTCATGCCTTTCAACTCTCTCTCTCTCTCTCTCCTCGCTCTTCCTCAGATCGTGTTGCACAGGGAGAAGGAGGTGAAACAGACTGAGTGTGACATGGCCATGGTCCATCACCTCCTGTCGCGGATCCCTCAAGAACTCCCGTATGAACTCCTGATCGCTCAGTCCCTGGAACTCTTCAGCCAGTACCCTCCCTCGGTGCTGGCCAAGCGGGCAGCGCTGCAATCTCGAAAAAGGTGAGGAGTGAAATAGGAGTGAAATTTACAGTATGTCACAATTTTGTGTCACCCAATAGGGGGTGCTAATAGACACATCTATCAAGAAAGTCTTTGAAATTCTATTGAAAACATTCACTGAATAACGAGAATAGAGACATAAAACAGCTTTTTCTGACATAAATACGTGGTTCCTTCCTGTGTATTTTTGTCTTATTATGTCACTTTTATTTATTGTGTTGTCAAAAAATAAACCTGACAGACTCTATTGTCCAACCAGGCGAAGCTCTCTGTTGAAAGGTCTTTGTATTCACCTATTTTTAATCTGTTTGTTTACCATCGATCCAACGTTAACGCCTCTATAAAAACCAACCTGCGTTCTTTCTTCTTCTTTCACACACGCTCTAGCCGGTGTATCAGCACCTTCCATGCCTTTCAGCTCTCCACCCTCCACCAGAGGCCAGACTCTGTTCTCCAGCGCCTCACCAAAGCCCAGGGCTCCAACACCTCCAACAACGGTAAAAATAGTAACTGTGATCTTATTAGTGACTGTGCAGAAGGAAGAAATCCCCAAGTATAGTTATTGCACATGAGTGAAGATAGATGTGCAAGAGAAAAATATTGGTAAAAATACAAGGTGAAGTAAGTTAGAAAAATAGATTTAAAATAGAGATTTCATTCTCATCTAAAAAAAAATGAATATGAATATAAAATCCAGTCAGCTGATCCCACCCCTCCCCCTTTGACCTTGATAACCCCCCCTCTTAGTTTGAATAGCAGCTGCTTTGCCTTAAGTTGCATTACTTCCACCTACTGGACCTACGTTCAGCAACTGTCCGACCACCTGCAAAAGTGTCGCTGCAGCTGATGCACTTTTATTGCCTCCTCTGAAATTCCCTTGTTTGCCCCATTAATCCATCATCTTAGGAACTACAGTGTGTGAGAACACGCTCGTCGCTGATGGGTTCTTGTATCATGAAAACAAAACTTTCATCTTCATTTTACCTCTTAAATATCGATGAACACCAAGAAAAGCTGATGCTTCGTGGACAGGAATGACTGTGTTATGTTTTTAATAAGCCGGTAGCCAAGGCTCAGGGTTTGTAGTTATTACCAACTTGGTCTTCAACCTAATTACTCTGAAGCCTGTGATGTTAGTTGACTATGTTCATCCTGCAGAATCTTTTGCAGGGTGTGTTTTACTTAATGAACTGTGTTTTTTTTCCTCTCTCATCCTTGTCCTTACTCCAATTGTTTGACATACCCTGGCCCTACCCAACCCCTCCTGCCCCCTCTTTATTCTCCAACCTAATCACCCAGAACATCACAGTCCTGTTTGAATACATTTAAAACAACAACAACATTTTAAGACGTCATGTCCTCACTGTGTCTCTTTCCCCTGCTGTTTGACACCCTCCTCCTTGTCTCGGGCCTCGTAGCCTCTCGACACGCTGGCCTTGAAGCAGCTTTAACCCGGAACCGAGGCCAACTGTGGGGGAAGGGGAACAAGATTGTGAAGATGGCGGTGTGGGGACTGTCCGCTACGCTGGGGGCGGCTGTGTTCGCTGTGGCTCAGACCGCCTTGGACTGGGGACCTGAGGTGTTGCTGCAGCTGTTCTGATGTGGACTGTTAGAGTCGTAACAACACAAACAAACATCCTCAAAGACTTGAAGTTAATCCAGTGACTGTAGGGGTCAAACTAGGGGTCAACTGCGGTACCAAACAGGTTGTTGCCACTCGACCAAGCTGGACATATGCTAAATCACTATTCAGCCTTTAGCCGTGTGTGTGTGTGCACGTGTGTATAATGAGCATGTGTTTCTATGGTTCTGAGCTTCTGTGTTGGATTTTATACCACTGGTCAGGATGAACGTTTGGACAAAAGAAGCCTCAGGTTTGAGGATGGTTGATGACTATTTATTGTGAAAGCTGAGAGCTGTATCTTTTTATAAAATAATACACACCGTAGAAAAGGATTATAGCCACATGGAATATATTTTATTAAATACAGTATTTTGACTAAAGACTTCCATGTGGCCATAACTCTTATCTATAACTGTGTCATCCAGAATGATATGCCATTCATTTCTACATTGGCAGCCAGTGGCCTGTTGTGAAAAGTCCGTCCATGCATGTGAGACATTAATGCATTCTGCTGTTACCGGCTCTGGTTCACATGCTTTTTTTATTTATTTATTTTTTATTGTGGCGTTTTGCACATGGCGATACTTCATATTTGTGTGCGTGTGTGCGTGTTTGACTATCACGCATGTTTCCTCGCGCTTCCATTGCACGTATTTCTTTAACACGCTTGTTTGATCAGCAGCCATATCAGACGGCCAACAGTGCCAGTAGCCAGAGCATAATCACACGAATCATGCAAATAATTAAAAAGCCTTTTTTTTTTTACTGAATTCCTGAAATATTTTCAGCAAGAGTAAAGTTATTAGGCGTAAAAGAGGGAGTGGGCTGTGATGCCTCAGAGCTTTTTTTTTTTAAAATATATTAATTGCTTAACTCTAGGTGTCAGCAAGTTGCACTTGCAGATATCTTTAACTCACAAACGAGCTGTTGCTGCACCAAATTGTGAACATCACCCTCTTGTTTCCTGGAGGCTATGTACAAAAGCAGCAGAACTTTTTTTTCAAATGAGTATTAAAATCATATTATTTATGCAAAAAAATATATTAATATATTAAGTATTGCTGTCTGACCTGCTCCTGCTGGAGGAACATGGGGGCAGACGCTATATTCCTAAAATCTGCTAAAATATTTAGCAGGTTTGCAGCAACATCTCCCCTCGACAGCAGTCAACAGAGCTGAGTCTCAGACTCATTCCTCTCACAGCATCATGTAATTCATCCAAATGAATCCCCTGATTTGGTAAAGAATATCTCAGCATTTTGTTATGAATGAATTATTTTAGCAAGTTGTAAAAAGTCAGAACAGAACGCAGCTATTAATGGACCGGATGCTAACGCAGAACTTCATAACATCTAAAGTGAATATTAATAATGGAGGGTGTTTCTACATACCTCAGGTACATGCATTTGCAGCGGACATGGATGTCTTTTTCTTTTTCTTCCAAACAGCCGTGCATGCTCTGGTTGTTGACTTGCTGTACATTCTGAAATATTTAACAGCTTTTACAAGCATGCAGTGAAGCAAGTGCTTTTGATAACACAACACACACGGCAATCACAACAACACTCTGCTCTCTGCACATTGTCAGATATAAATGTGTCCAATCTTTACACAGCTGGATGGATAGTCTGCGCCCTGTTGATTTTAGCTGCTTCAGAGCGTCTGCTGTGTACTAAATGTGCCTCGCGCTTTACACTAGAGTGTGGAAGGAGACGAGCAGCAGATCGATAACAGGAAGGGATTGATCTGAAAAAGTAAATTTTGAGAGTTCGGAGAGCTAAGGTGAGCTGGAAATATAATGATCTAATCTGTCTCCAGTGTTAGGGACATGTGTGGGGTTGGTGAGCTCACATCTGTCTGGGAGTCAGTCAGGTGCAAACAAAAAATCAGCAAGTTTTCTTTTTTTTTTAAATCACAAAAGTAGACGTCTCAGAATTAAAAAAAGGCTGACTTTTTCCTGACTTTTCACAAAGTGACCTAAAACAAAGTAATTATTTCTTCAAATATATTTTCTGTCCTAACAGTCGGAACTCTGATTAAAGCTAGAACTTCTCATTTTTAATCTCATAACTCTGGAAGTAAAAGTCCTTGTGGCCCTAATCCTCTCCTGTTAATTTGCTTCCATCTCCTTTAATAATAATGTACTCATCTATCTGTGTTACTCATCTGTCTGTGCTCTACATTCCGGACTCACTTTGCACCTTGTTATATTTGTGCTGCCTGCACCGTGTGTGTCTTTTCTGTTTTAAATGTCCTTTGTTTAAAGACTTGTTTTGTTCAGTTGCAGCTGCTAATGAAGAGCTACTAAAACTGTTTGGCATTATCCCTGCAACAGTGTTGATTGAATACTGCACCAGTGTGTGTGTGTGTGTGCCGTCCCAGTATTGCACGTCTTGGGGGCATTTCGGCCTAATATACACCATCAGGTTTTAAATTAAGGATGGTTTTAAGATAAGGACTTAATTGTAGTAGTGGCTGGTGTTAAACTAATGTCACCTGGTAATGGATGCAGTGGATGTCGCGCGGTGACAAAGTTTGCTGGTGTTTGAGGAAGAAAACAGTCACTTCCTTTGGTTTGATTTTTCTTTATTTTAATGACGGGCGTTGACTACAGTAAGGTTTATTTATTCTACACTTTGATGCATTTGTTCCTCAGTTACAGCTTATCAATGTATATTCTAATTGCACACATGCATGAGTTAGTTGATAGTAATGATTGACAGTATTGGGTTTTCAAAATGTTGCATTCAATATATATGTACGGTCAGGGTCAAGATGGGGGAAAAAATGTGATTTTTCCAGTTGGGAAACGAGCGTGTTTTTACCTGTGAAGGTGAATTTCTGCTGAACTGCTCTTTTCTCTGCTGCTTAATTTTTCTGAAATTAAAGAAAATAAACAAATGCTTTTTCAAAAGTGAGCATTTGTTATTATGCTGCCTGTTTGGCCTTGATTTGTTCCCATTATGGTCTATTACACAAACAAGTCACTCCTGAAGTGAATTCCGTCGACACTCAGTGAACTTTGAAATTGAAAGTATGTTACTGTGCTTCCATTGTGCTTTGTTTTAATCAATAGGAGATTGTTTGATTGCTTAATTTGTGAACGTCGAGGAGAGACTGAAACGACCAGGCTGTGTGATCTGGAGAGAGAAGTCTGTGCTCCTGTCAGGCCTGATCGGCGCGGTGTTGTGGAGGACACACACGCTGAGGTTGATGGTGATGGTGATGGTGCCAGCTTCTAATGAAGATTTAATTCCAGCCTTCAGCTCTTGGCATGTTTTTATTTATTTATTTATTTTATACCTATTTAACTTCTTTATTTTCTCATTCAAACTAAAAATGAGACGCCAACACCTGCACTGGCATCAGTTCAGAGTGAGTGAAATTTTTGGCACCATGTTTTTATTGTGTTTTACTCCGTTACTTTACATTAACTTAAACTTTAAATAAACAACGGAATAATTTGTCCCAAGGACGTTAAGGACGTGTCACAATGTCTAAAACCTACAGTCAGTTTTTTGTTTAACTTCAATGTCTCTATTAACTTTTGTCTTTTCAGGCAATATTTTAAAAAACCTGTGGCATTTTTGAAATTGTTTGCTTTATCCAATTTTGTAGAATTCCAGAAATTCCACGTTTAGAATCAAAGGCTTACAGGCCCCTAAAAAGCCAGCGCAGAATAAACGTGACTCTGTTCTGAATATATTTATAGCACTACCACAGATAAGTGCGGACACCTCCCCCTAAAGGCCGTGGCGAGTTAGGGAAGGGTTAGGTTTGGTTAAGTGATGATTGTGGTAAGAGCGGCTCCTAGGAAATTATTCTGTGTCAGAGTCAGGCACCCACAAGTGACCTATGACCAGCGTGTGTGTGTGAAAGTGCAGGCTGAGCATCTGTGCATCTGACCCCCAGGGAGAGAGAGAGAGAGAGAGAGAGAGAGAGAATGGTTAAAGAAGGGATGAGGAGGAAAGATGGCTGTGGTGAAATAAAAAAAGACATCTGGTGAACGTGTTGGCGGCAGCTGAAGTCTTCAGCAGCGTGTGTTTTAAAATCAAAGACCCCTGAGGGTTTCTAATGAGCTGGAGTGGAAACGAGTGCAGGTCAGATCAGTCGAGAGCACATGTGGAGCAGGACGTTGTGGGTTTATATTTAAAGTCCTCCGAGTGAGTCAGACTAATGTGAGAATGAGATCAAGATCTGTCAAAACACACACACACGTTATTTAAATCTCTGTGATGACATTTGAAATTGTCCTTTAACGGCGTCTTGTCTTTGTGGTTCCATCAGCCTGGTACTAGTCAGTGTGTGTACTTGAACCTATAGAATAACAAATGTGAGTGGGTGAGTGGGTGAGTGGGCGGCCGTGCTCGTCGGTCAAAGACGGGTGTTTGGGATTCACACGACAACAGCAGCTTCAAGAGAGTGTCTGATGTCTCTCTCTCTCTCTCTCCCCCCTTCTGCTGACACCACAACATACACACACACACCACCCACACTGTTGTCCATATATATATATATATATACTGTATATATATATGGATTGTATTCTGAGGTGAAGCGATGTCTGCGTTGTTTATACAGTATCTTTAATTGACTTTTAGCTTGATCTCGTCTCCTGGGTTTTTAAAACCTGAAACGAAGCCAAGCTTGTAATTAATTGCTGTCAGAGTATATGTGAAATTCCATGCTGTTCTCAGGGGAACCGTCAGAGGTCGAGGCCACAGGTTAGAACCCAAACTTTGACGACACTACCTGAACATCCTCATGTTGAACAGCTACATACCAATGTCATTGAGCCGCCTGAGCAACAGAAGGTCGTCTTATAGCTCTGTCTTATATCTGTAAGCCATGTCACGTCCTGGACTGTACTCAGTATATACCTGAAGTATCTGTGTATAACCAGGAAAATGGAAAACCATTGCTGAAGTTCTCTAAGATTACACTTTCTCCTGTATTCTGGGCCGTGGTTTGTTGCTTCAAATTCTTGGGTCTTATGTGTGGAGTTGATGTTTTGTTTTTTCTTTATTTGAGGTTCCTGTTTAATCGATTTAATCTACTTGTGAGTAGGTGCCTGGCTCGGCTCACTCCTGTATCTGTTGAACACTCTGATCTCCTCTTTTACTGTTGTCTCGTATTTTTATTTTCCAATTCTGAGGGGTGCCTTGCTTAATATTTACAGTCCCTTCGTTGCTGCTGTAGTAAACACTTTATAGTCCATTAAGAAATGATCAGCACTCACGTACAGTAGCTCTGGTACACTGCGGTGGAAACGTGCCGTCCAGAGTCCGCTTAACTTGACTCTGGACGGCACACGGCTGATAAGAACTACGTACTGTAAGAGCTCAGGTCCAAACACTCAAGTCGTAGACTGAAACTGAAAAACAGGCAGATGGAGCCTGAGTTTGGAACATGATTCCCCTCACATCACAAAAAAAAAATGTTTGATACATTATCGATTACCGCGGGGTTAAAGAAAAACTCCACTTGGTCTGAGACACCTTTTTTTCCCTCTTTCTCTCAGAACAACAAATCAAAGAGTGGCAGTACTCTGATAGTTATTTCGACCATATCACTTTTAATTTACAGTGAAGCCGCATCGATCAAAAGCTTATGAGGCCGGATTTCCCCAGTGAAGCCGCACCGTAACACACGCACACGTGCACACAGCCTCTTTGTCTGGGTTCCTGTTTTTCCTTTGCACCGTCCTTCCCTGCGCTCCCTCACGCAGCCCTTCACTCTGTCATGGATCAGAGAACATGTCCCACAGTCTTTTACAGGCAACACACGTGCTGCATATTCCTACAGGCTCGCTTTGCAATTCATCCCCTAACAGTACGTGTGGGAACGTTCAGAAGTGGCTGACTTTGCGTGAAGGTCCACCACCTTGGATATTACAGAGCCGTGGTATTTTCAGCTCTTACCTCTAGTATTCATTGTGTATATATATGTATATATATATATATACATATATGTTTTTAAACCTGGGCTTCAAACACTTGTGGACCTCAAATGAAGTGTTGGTTTCCGTTCTTAAGAACAGGTTACATTTCAACCTTTAATGACTGAAGTCCAGTTCTTGCATGAACAAAATTACTTTTTTCCATCTACATATTTTTTCCCCCTCATTTAGAGACAGCTTTGTTTGTTTATGATGTTATTCTGTTGATTATCACTGCCAAAAAATAGCAATAATTTTCTGTGGAAAATGATTTTAACAAGACTTGGACCAAAGAAAAATCAAAGCTCAGTTAGAGTTTTTGAAAGTGTCTGGCCAGGTGTTATTCTGCGAAGCGAGAAACTTTTAAACTTGCTGTGTTCACACTCTAACGCAGCAGAGAGTGTGTGATAGTGTGTGATTCTGCTGTGAATGACTGATAACCCACGGGCCTCATTAGCTTCAACCTGGTCCGGTCCATACAGCTTTATTACTACCTGGTACTCATTACCTGTCGTGTGTGTCTTCACGGACTCCTGGGAGTGACCTCCTGTGCCTTTCACACATGACCTCTTGTCCTCCTGGTCTCCCCCTCCTCCCCACTGTGACTCACCTCTGCTGACCTCGCCTCTGTTTCTGTGGACACCTGAGGAATCAGGAGAAGTCCCGCGGCGTGTTCTCTGCCACTCCTCTACAGGCTCTGTGGAGAAAGTATAAAATTCTCCTCCTCACATGTGGAACGGGGGCCTCGTGATGACAAATAGTTCCAAAAAGTTTTGTTTGTGGAACACAATTACAGGTGCTTGCATAAGTCTTGAGTCATCCCTGTTTTTAACATTTGAACCTGAACGAGTCTATCAGTCACAGACCGATCTTTGATCACCACAGTCAGTTACTTGACTTTAGTCTCGTCCTTGCAGCAGAAATTTCAAATTTTTGCATCAAGATTTTTGTTTTGTTTTAACACTAGTGACATCTTCAGGATATCACTGTTATGGAGCCGTGGAGGTGAGAATAAATGAAAGTCAACAAATGTTCTTGAACCGTATATTTACACTACCTTTCAGTTGGAGTCATTGCTTGATCAATCCATATCATATTATTAAAAATTGCGGACAAATACTGGAACCAACCAACCACCGTAATGTGCAGGCACAAAGAGGCAAGAAAAAGTGGCAGACGAGGATGATAAGTGGTTTAAATTAAACCACTCGGAATGACAGGAGGAAACGACATCAATGACTCCTCTGTGTATTTTCTCAGGCTGCATTTCAGCCTGTCACGATGGGGAACGTGTTTAGCTTAGCCTCTCTGCCTTTAAAAATCATAAATACTTTTTTTTTTCTCCCCTCCGCTATAGAAATATAAATTCTGTGTATTTTTTTTCTGGAGCCTACCTAGAACCTCTCACTCTTTTTCACATTGTCTGGGTAATGACCACTGCACGCTGCAGTGTTTGTATTTATGACTTTCACATACATGCAAGGTATTTTTTTTATTTTATTTTTTCCTGGTGTCCCATGTCTCAAACGGCTGTTGTGTAAGAGTTATTTCCGGAGTGGCTTCACGGCTTTGCTGTCTGTTTCCACAGTTTGACATTTGGTTTAAAGTTTTCTTCCCCCTTTCTCCAATTTAGAATGTGTCATAACTAAACCCTGATGTCTTGTTAATCTTTCAGTCCAGCTCTGGGTGTTTGAGGTCGCCTCAGCCTCCATCCACTACGCCGACCCCCACATAATCTAATTTACACACACAAAGTCTGTAGAGAAGGGACTAACAAGGAGGAGGCGAGTAAATTTTCTGCTCGAATTGGATCTGTCTGTGTGTCAAGTGTGTGCGTTTGCTGCAGGGAAGGACATCTTCAGGCTGTGGAACACGTTTTTATGGCAGGAACGGATCAATCCGTCTTAAGTCACAGGGCTCTTTCTCATGTCCTTCATTTGAAATGCCTGGCAGAAAAAATGTGTAGAGCTGGCAAAATGTC